CTATCAATCCTGTTTATCCTTTAAAAAAAACTAGTGTTTGGTTTCATTGAGCCTTTGTATGGGCTTTTGGGTGTCCATTTCAATTAGTTCTGCTCTGATTTTAGCTATTTCTTTTATTCTATGGTTTGTGGTTGTTCTATAGTTCTTTCTTCTACAGTTTGTTGTTGTTTCTCTAGTTTCTCTATGTGTGATATTAGATTAATTTGAGATCTTTCTAAATTCTTGATGCAGGCATTTAGCTCTATAAACTTTATTCTTTACAATGCTTTTGCTGCAACTCAGAGATTTTGGTACGTATGTCTCTGTTTTTATTTCCAAGAATTTTTAAATGTTTTCCTTAATTTTGTTATTTACTCACAAGTTTTGATGTTTTTGAATTTATTTAGACTTGATTTCTGACTGAGCATCTGGGTAATCTTGGAATATGTTCTGTGTGCAGATGAGAAGAATGTATATTCTGTGGTTGATGGGTGAGTGTTTTGTAGATGTCTATTAAGTCCAATACAGAATTTGTTAGTTTTCTCCCTTGATGATCTAATGCTGTCAGTGTGGTGTTGGAGTCCCATTTTTGTGTGGTTGTGTGGTTACCTAAGTCTCTTTGTAGGTCATAAAATAAGAAGCACTTGTTTCATGAATCTGGGTGCTTCTGTGTTGGGTATATATATATTTAAGATCAATAAGTCTTCTTACTGAATTGAGCCCTTTATCATTACGTAGTGTCTTTTTTTGTTTGTTTTTTTTTTTTTTTTGTCTTTTTAAACTGTTGTTCATTTAAAGTCTGTTTAACCTGATATAAGAATAGTGACCCTTGCTCTTTTTGGTTTTCTATTTTTATGGCAGAGCTGTCTCCAACTCTTTATTTTGAGCCTATGGATATCATTACATGTAAGATGGGTCTCTTGAAGACAGCAGACAGAGGGGTCTCTTTTTTTTTTTTTTTTTAATTCAACTTGCGACTGTGCTTTTTCAGTGGGGGAATTAAGACTGTTTACATTCACAATCAATATTGATATAGGAGGTTTTGATCCTATTGTGAAGTCATTAGCTGGATGACTTGTAGTTTCTATTCTGTAGTTCCTTTATAGGGTCTGTGGACTAGGTACCTAAGTGTGATTTTGTGGTAACACGTATTGTTCTTTTGTTTTCACATTTAGAACTTCCTTAAAGATTTTTTGTAAGGGTGGTCTAGTGATAACAAATTCCCTTAGCAATTGCTTATCTGAAAAAATATTTTATTTTACCTTCATTTATGATGCTCAATTTGGCAGGATATGAAATTTTTGATTGGAATGTCTTTTCTTTGAGAATGCTGAAAATAGGCCCCCAATCTCTTCCGGCTTGTAAGGTTTCTGCTGAGAAGTTCACTGTTAGCCTGATGGGGGTCCCTTTGCATGTGATATGACCTTTTTCTCTAGCTACATTTCAGATTTTTTCTTTAGTGCTGGCCTTAAACAGTCTGGTGACTATATATGCATTAGTGATGTTCATTTTATGTAGAATCCAGCAGGTGTTCTCTGGATTTCTTGTATCTGGATGTCTACCTCTCTAGCAAGATTACAGAAATTTCATTCTATTATTCCCTCAAATTTGTTCCCCAGATTGATTACTTTTTCTCCTGCTCTCTCCAGAATGCCAATAATTTATATGTTTCATAGCTTTACATAATGCCATATTTCTTGGAGACTTTGTTCATCTTTAAAAATTATCCTTATTTTTGTCTGACTAGATTAGTTTGAAAAAAAAAAAAAAAACAGTCTTCAAGTTCCAAAATTCTTCTGCTTGGTCCAGTCTATTAACAAAACCTTAAATTGTATTTTGAAATTCCTTGAGGTTTTCACTTCCAGTAGTTCTAGTTTTGCTTTGCCTGCCATGTATGAGCCAGAAAAAGCCAAGGGAGTGGGGAACTGAAAGTACCTTTTCCTAAAACATTTCCCCACCTAGGTTCACTAATCAAGCCAAACAGACAGGCAAACAAAAAGATAAATTATTGCTAAAAATTAAAAGCCACTTGAAGATTTTGGTCTTCTGATACAATTTAGCTATCCCTAGCTAAAATGCAAATATTTGAATATTTAACCCCTAAACTCATTTGAAACACAAAAAGGGAAGAGGTTTTTAAAAATAAACCTGCTATAGAAATTGCTTTACCCAAAATTTGGTATCTAGTCTTCATAAAATTACCTATCAGGGCAAATAAAATGTAGCCACATGAATAGGTCCCATTTTGTCAGACACATCATTTGAACCCAACTCTCCTTCTGTAAACCAGTGCATTGCTTTTGAGTTCTTGTTATCTGCCTGCAGACTGGACTCGATCCTGTAATCTCTTAATTTTCTCCAATATTTGGATATAACTCTCCAAAACTTGCTCTGTTTGTAAAGCCCTAAAACTGAAGCTGGACAACTTAATATAACTTTCAAGGAACTAGCCTCATGCATGATGTATGGGCTGCACATAAAGTCCATTGAACCGCCTGATTCCATACCCAGTGACCTTCAAGCTGCAAACAAGGATGATAAATTGATGGCTTTATGTAGTGAACAACTTTTCACAAGACGATGGGACAAGATAGCCCAACAAAATGAGACTCTTGGCCGGGCGTGGTGGCTCACGTCTGTAATCCCAGCACTTTGGGAGGCTGAGGTAGGCAGATCATGAGGTCAGGAGTTCTAGATCGGCCTGGCCAACATGGTGAAACCCTGCCTCTACTAAAAATACAAAAATTAGCCGGGTGTGGTGGCACATGCTTGTAATCCCAGCTACTCAGGGGGCTGAGGCAGGAGAATTGCTTGAACCCGGGAGGCAGAGGTTGCAGTGAGCCGAGATCCTGCCACTGCACTCCAGCCCGGGTGACAGAGTGAGACTCCGTCTTAAAAAACAAAAACAAAAACAAAAACAAAGAGACTCTTGTTCCTCTTGCTTTTTCCTTTCTTATGCCTATCTTTTTCTTTATAACAGCGTAACTGAAATTTCACAATCAGTAGTTTCTTTTGGTAACTTGATAGAATCTAATTTCAGAGCTCTTTTAAGTGATAAATTAAAAAAAAAATCTGTGCTATTGATAATACTACATATTGTATATGGATAAATTCCTCTGGGGAAGTTGAGGCCTGTATACATACAATTTTTTTTAAGTCATATAGTTATAACAGGTTTCACTTAAGTCCCATATCTTTTGATTTATTTGTTTGTCCTTAAGGCTAGCCTCAAAGCTGAAAACCATTATGCAAACTAGGGTTATCATATTGCTATTAACTTTATTTTGCATTTTCCTTTTAGAATTTTGTACATGTTCCTTACCAAATTTCTGCCGAAGTACTACTCCTAACAGAACAATGCTGGCCCAGTACTTTGAGAGGATGGCTAAAAGACTCCAGAATAGATGAAACTGAACTTAACAAAGGACTACAGCAAGGCTTATCCTGACAGCAACTCCCTCCAGGCCTCCTTTGTTGTCCAAATATGGCTAAAAGGGTTTTGATGCCGACTAGTTGCCAATCACTCCCTCCAATGTGGGACCAGACCAGTAACCCAGGACAAGATCTCTCTCTGAAATCATTGCTGATCACCCTTTAACCAAGATGGACCTGTCCTGGGTTACTTTAAAATATTTTTATACAATTATGTGCTTTAAAATTGATAAACTTTATCAGTAGACATATAAAAGATAGTGAGTTACTAATTAAAAGAAGATATTAGCAGTATAGAAATGAACAGCAGGTCGGGCGCAGTGGCTCACGCCTGTAATCTCAGCACTTTGAGAGACCAAGGTGGGTGTATCATGAGGTCAGAAGTTCAAGACCACCCTGGCCAAGATGGTGAAACCTCATCTCTACTAAAAATACAAAAATTAGCCAGGCATGGTGGCAGAGTCCTGTAATCCCAGCTACTAGGGAAGCTGAGGCAGGTGAATCACTTGAACTCGGAGGATGGAGGTTGTAGTGACCTGAGATTGTGCCATTGCACTCCAGCCTGGGTGACAGAGTAAGACTCTGTCTTTAAATAAATAAATAAATAAATGAACAACAAATCAGTAGCAAGAATACATAAATATTCTTACCAGAGAAAAATGTGCAAATAGCATGAATAAGCTTTTCATGAAAGAGAAAACAGACGTGGTCAAAACACTAATGAAATTCAATCCCAAGACTATCATAAAATACCACCTTATAGCCATTTAATTGGCAAAAATAAAAAATGTGTCAATACCAACTTGGTAAGAATATGTGAACCTACGGGGTGGGAATATAACTGCTACTACTTTTTTGAAAAATAATTTGACCTTATCCTATAAGATGAACATTCACATATTCTACATCTGATCCCCCTCTTAAGTATATACTCAAGAAAAACAATTATAGATGTGTACTGGACACATGTATAACAATGTTCATATTAACATGTAGCCAAGCACAAAAACCTTGATACAACCTGCAAATCCATCAAAAAGGATGTATGAATAAAATATTTAATATTTATGCAATGAAATACTACGCAGCAGTAAAAGTGAATGGACTACGGCAACAGTAAGCAATATGGGCAAATATTAGCAATTTAACATTATATAAACATAATTACTGAATTTTTACATACAGTTTGATGTCCTTTCTATGCATTAAAACCAAACAAAATAAAGGCATTTTTACCATCACATAAGAAATGAGAATACACATGCACACAATTTAAAGTGATAATGATCTCAGTGGAAGGAGTGGGGGTGGGGTGATTATAGGATGAGATATGATAGAAGTTATTGTTAGATTTCTAGGTTTGAAGTTGGGTGGTAAGCTCATTGGTGCTCATGACATTATTAAAACAAACAAACAATAGGGGATGCGTGCATCAATGTGGAGAAACACAGCATGAACAACAGGTATAAATTCTAACTCTCACCTTGGCTATAAATGAGGCAAAGGTTTACAGCACATTTACTTGATCACAGACTGTCAAACAAAGACATATTAGTGGCCACGGTGGGCTGTGACAACTCTAGTCTCACCTCGATGAGTCAGGTTAAAAAGGATATTGACACTTCTCTTCCTTAGGTAATTTTCAGCTATGAGTGTGAGGTTATAAGTTTCTTGTGAGTCTTGAGTTATTTGCCAATTACACCAGTTTTTGTGGGTACAAAGTTTCTTTTCCCCAGAAAATCTTTAAAAACAAAACAAACGAACACAACAATTACAAGGTTTTACTTCTGTCAAAGCAAATGTATCCCTTAACCCTTGGGGCATTCTCAGTGACTGTCAAACTATGTTCCCCATAATGGCACTGATGCACCGCCAACAAATACCAATAATGAAAATATTGTTTCTACAAACTTGATATATGTGCTAAAATGTCTTAACAATGAATTACTGACACCCCGTGGGTGGCAAAAAGTCCCTTAATTTACTTGGAATATTCTTAAAAAGTCAGAAATTGGGTAGATCCAGATTATCAGAGGGGACTATTTTCACGTCAAGATATACAATTGACTGTCTTTCTTACCATACTATGCTAAATGTTCCTTTATTAAAAACCTCAGGTAGAAAATATTAGACACTTGTGACCACTTAAAGGTTTCCTCTTAATCTTGGCAGATGTTTCTAAAATATTTGTTCCAATTTCCTGCAACATCTAAATGTAGATTTTGCCATGTTGTTCACAAGCACCTCAAACAAGGAAGAACTTGTCAAGAATGTAACCAGAGCCAACTTACGATTCAAATAAAGTGTAGCTTTGGGAAGGTTGTTTAGACCAACCCAAGGCAGTGTCCACCCCAGGATCCCAAGTACAGTGCAAAGTCTTGAAGTCCTGGGTTTCACAAGAAAAGTCCTTGGGCTCCTCAAGTACTTCTGTCCATACAAAGGAAAACAGACCTAGTTAAATCTTTTTATTGGAAGCTAAGCCAAATGGAAAGCTCTGTTTAGAGTCTGAAGCCACAGAGTTACTCTGAACAATGTAGGGGTCACTGAAGTGGAAGCCTACATATCAACAGCCTCCTAAAGTCACTTTTCAGGGGTCACTTCATCTTGGCCCCTTCTCTTTCCTGCCCTTGTGATTTCTCAGATGTCATGGGCATGGGTGGTCAATATTATGCAAGTGGTTGGTGCTGTCTCTGTTTGACAAGGGTTGTATCCCCAGTCCCTGCCAGAGTTTCATTTTGGGTGCTGTGGCTCACAGAAAGCCTCAGGGATGTGAGAAAATCAGTCAGATTTGTGAACCTGCTAACTTCAACAGGCAGGGGCTGAGTGTTCAGGGAATAGTGAAGCACTTCTGAGTCCCCAGAGTTACTGCTGCTCTTAGTGACCATGCTAAGGGGACACAGAAGAAACAGGCATCCAGGTGACTGGAGACTTCCTTTGGCAAGGGAGGCAGGGAGGGAGATGTCCCCTACTGTGTAAAGGGAAGGAGATGCTCAAAACAAAATACAGGAGGCCACTAGTTGTGCACACACAGACCTATATAAAAATCAAAATGTTCCCACTCCACTAACGTATCCAATGGAGCCAATTTACTGCACAGTTAAGAACAGTAATGGCCTCCATTTGCTGATCTCCTACTGCACACAGGTATTACTGGGGCCCGATGCTACACACATTCATTAATCCTCACAATCACCATCACTATCCCCATTTTACAAAGGAGAAAACTGGCTCAGAGAGGCTAGGAAAGTTGGCCAAGACGACACACCCAGCCAGTGAAAGAAGATTCAAACCCAGGTCTCCTGGGCCACAACCCTGGCTGACTCTGTGGTTGTCCAATCTGTAGCCCCTCCCCTTCCTCCAGGATCCCGTAGTAATTTCAGCATGGCTGGGGAAAAAATGGGGATTTTCCCAGTAGTCCAGGTCATGACTCGAAGTGTCTCTTCTTTAATACTACTGATTTCTAGGAATACAACTGTCAGTAAAAACAAGAAAACAACAGGAAATCCTGGAAATATTACTGAAGGACATCAATTTCAGAGCCTTTCTAGAAAACTTGAGAAGCAAAAGAAAATCAAGATCATGGGCAGAAATGCTTAACTTGTCTTCTAGTAAAGGAGATTTAATCTATTCCTCAGGAAATGAGAAGAAAGGGCCACAGAATTTGCATACTTACTTGAGACAAAGAGAACGATGCCTTTTATGCCTTTAGAGACACTTCCTTGGCTCACCTCACAATACATATCTGCCCCTGTTTTCCTAATGAAAGGCACACTACTTAAGTGGAATACAGATACGTGTGGATCAAGTTGTTCTCCATAAATCTGTTTCCCTTCCCAATAACAAGATACATTATTTTGAATGTTTCTAGAAACATAGCAAATGGTGACGTTGGCACCTTCTTCCACCAGTTTATCTTTAGGGAAAACGAACAATATATCCTGTCCAAGAGAATCTTGTACTGCAAGACCAAAAAAAAAAAAAGCCAAGTTAGTATCTCACTCAAAATTCAAGCCTCTTAAAACAAGCTGTCCATTTTCCCTCAGCAGATAACTTTAGCTTTTTCTACCTCCTGTAGAAAACAGCAAACTAAATGTATCTGCCAATCTTCTACCCTTTGGTGCATGCGAGACAATCCTTTCCAGCATTGCTCCTGTTGTTACATGGCTACCACTGCAGTTGTGGTTACAGCCACAGACAGCACGTTACTGTTACCACTCTGAGTTTTGCATGATTGCTACTGCTAGGTTATTGTATCAGCAGCAGCTGCTCAAGTCCCAGCCCTGCGGGAGGCCATGTTAAGTGTTTATGTACATTATCTCAGGACATTCTTAGTACTTTATGACAACAGGTCAGGTAGGACTGAGCCAAAGTTTGCCCAGTTAGAAACTGGTAAAACCATATTCAGACTGGCACGGTCTACCCAGTTCCAAAATCCCTCATAATCTCTTAATTGTTCTGGAGACCATATCTCTCCCTAGCTTCTCAGAAATGCCCATCCCTCAAATGTGAGGGGTCTTTAAAAAGTTCATTTAAGTTTATAAAAATCCAACCTTCAAGCGATTCTCAAGCCTCGGCCTCCTGAATAGCTGGGACTACAGGCATGTGCCACCACCTGGCTGATTTTGTTGTATCTTTGGTAGAGATGGGGTTTTGCCATGTTGTGTAGGCTGGTCTTGAACTCCTGAGCTCAGGCAATCTGCTCACCTCAGCCCCCTAAAGTACTAGGATTACAGACGTAAGCTACCGCACCCAACTTCTTACTATCTTTTTAAAATGCTTTTTTTCCCCGTATATGTGTCCATGTAATGGTTAGCACATGACCTCTGGAGCCATATTGTCTGGGTTAGAATTCCAGCTCCACCACTTAGTGGCGTGGTGGCCTTGCATGACTTCTTTAACCTTTCAGTGCCTGTTTCCTTACCTGCTAAGAGAGGATAAGAAGTCCTTTTACAGGACTGATATGAGAACTAAATATATATAGTACTTTAAAAAGTGACTAGGCCATAGATTTAATTCAATTATTATCTCATTATTATTAGTTTAATGGGAGGAAAAGAAACTGACAAAACTCACTCTAAATTTTATTACAACAAAATTAAATTATCAGTATTAAAGAGTATTTAAAATATATTTATCCATAATCTCATCTTTCAAATAACACATCACTTTCATTTTTCCATATTTCCTTTGCCTCTAGACTGGGGGGGACTACAACTTGAGCCCACCATCTGTTGGGGTGTGTGTGTGTGTGTGTGTGTGTGTGTGTCAGAACCTCACTCTGTCGCCCAGGCTGGAGTGTAATGGTGTAATCTAGGCTCACTGGAACCTCTGCCTTTTGGGTTCAAGTGATTCTCCTGCCTCAGCCTCTCAAGTACCTGGGACTACAGGCACCTGTTGCCACACCCACCTAATTTTTGTATTTTTAGTAGAGACATTGTTTCACCATGTTTTCCAGGCTGGTCTTGGACTCCTGACCTCAAGTGATCTGCCCACCTTGGCCTGCCAAAGTGCTGGAATTACAGGCATGAGCCACCGTGCCAGGCCCTATTGTTGTAAGTAAAGTTCTATCAAAAAAGCCCTCTCATTGGTTTACACACTATCTATGGCTGCTTTCACACTACAGTGGCAGAGCTGAATAGTCACAACCGAGATGGTATGCTCTGAAAAGGATACAGTATCTTATCTGGTCCTTCACAGAAAAAGGTTCCCAACATCTACTTTAGATGCATACACATTTTGTGTTGCTCAAATACATACATATATACAATTTATGTCTTGCTTTGTTCACTTAGCATTTATAATATACACACTTTACACGTTTTGAAAACAAATATGAAATTGTCTGATTTGCACAACCGTCTCAACGAATAAGTTCAGGAGCAAGACTTCAGACTATATCTTCCAGTGCCAAGTTTCACACCTGTGTTTTTTAGTTCCCACAGGAGCCGAAGGAAAATAATGTCAGTGTCTACCCAGGGTTCCAAAAAGGAGATTTCCACTACTCAACTATTGCTCTTCATTAAAAAAACATATTAACCCTTTTCACTCTTGCAACTACCTCACTTCTTACCATTGACTTCCTCCCATGAACTCCAGTTGCTCCAGAAATTTGGCTCATGGAACCTGGCATCGTCCACCGCACTCTTTATTCTTACAAAGTGTGTTGCACATTCCAAAGGGAGTTCAGATTCCCAGCTCCAATGCAAAACCTGGTTCCACTTCACAGTCGTGCTATAATTCCCCTAAAAGCAAAGAGAAAAAAAATGGAAACACATAGCCATCTTGTTCTATAAAATAGCTTGACTTGACTTATACCAAAGCTCAAATCTAAGATCCCATTGCAGGGCCACAATATGTACCAGGGAAGACCATTTCTGTTAGTCAATTCCCTGTGCTCTGATGCCTTGCATGGGAGCCAGCTATAATCTCCTGCCTTTTGAAAACTCAGCTTCCAATCCCTATGGTCGTCCAATTCCAGGGGTCTTACGTGGAACATGCGGAAGAGAAAACAGAAGCTGCCCAGGTCTTGGGGAACAGATCAGAGACAGAAGGTGTTCATTGTGCCAGTCCCAGAGAATCTAAGAAAGTTCTTGAAAAGTAGAGAATTAATTCAGTCATTCTTTCTTTTTTTAAAAAAAAGAATGATTGATTGTTTTACAAATATTCATCTTTAGCAAGGTTCAGATTAGGTTGGCCAAATCTCAGTCAAGAAAGCAGTCTTTCATGGCACACCAGAAATTTCATTTTCTCTTAGAAGTCAACAGATGGCTCTCCGAGTCTCCCTTGGTTTCCTGTGTCTTGTGTTTTCAGATGTGGTGGCCACATGGACCACACCCCATCTCTTGGGCTCCACTTGTCAGACTCTTAAGCCCTGGAGACATCAATGACACAAAATGTCTTACACTGTTCTATAGGAAGCTTGTCTAAGTTGAACTGCCTGCCATTTGGGCTTCTGGCACAGCCTTTAGCCTTTATCTTTCTGAGATTCTGGTGTTTCCATTCTCTAATTCCACCAGCTTCAGTGGTTCCTTTACACCTTACCCTGTTACACAAGGCCTGCTATATAATCTGGCTCCAATCCACCAGTCCCTTGCAGGAACCATCTCTCCAAACACGGCTCCTCCCGACACTTCTGCATCTGCATCTGCCTCTGCCTTCTGCATCTGCCTTATGCTTTCACACCTGTCTTTGCTCAGGCATTGTCTTTGGTTTGGTGTCTTCTACTCCCTGCTGAATTGGGATCTATCCTATTCTTCAAGCCCAGGTCATGCCCCATCTCCTTTATGAAGGCTTTCTTGCTCTTTCTTCTGCATTCCTCTCGTCTCCACCCCTCCTGAGGCCCTCCTCTATACCATGGCTAGCTGTTGGTGTATCAGCTGTGACTCCAGCAGGAACTGTGCTCTCCTCTTCTTTGTGTCCCCCATAGCTCCAGCCACACCTTCTCCTCAGAATGCCTCCTCAAAGACTCCTGTTTTCTGCCCCACAGCTGTAAGGTGGAGACAACACACACGTGACACTTCCTGGGGGAACTGAGTTCAAGCCTGCATCCGTGTTTCTAAGGGCAAATGGTAAGTCCTCAGTGAAGGGAGTGGGACATGTCACACACTGCTTGGAGTTAGCAACTCAGAGGGCTTCTTCTATTTATGTCTGCCCCCTGTTCAGGTTGCTAACTTGAAATAGTGTCCCTGACAAAACTAAACCCAGCCCTGGGCTGAGAACTTCCCAGCCCACCTAGTGGGCATTTAATTGTCGGCTTCTTTTTTCACTCTATGCAGACTGTCATTTTTTTATGTTTATATTTTATTTCCTTTTATTGCATTATTTTATTCCTAGATCACAAAATATGTTCTTTTAACAAGTTGTGAGGTCCTGATCCATGAAACTCTATTTAACGTGAGCAATATCAAGTACATTTTACTTAAATATTTTTAAAATTTAAGAGCAAATAACCCCTCTCTTCCCCCCCGACCCCTGCTAGAAGGAAGTACATCAGTAATGGCAACCTCACTATAATGTCAACAAGTCACAGACTGAATTTTACCTCCCACTTCTCCCTAAAATGCAGCGCTTCTCTCATCGGCATCTCTGCTTTGGCTGGACCCCACAGCTCGCTTCCTACTGGCCACACGTCCCTTTCCCCACTTCCCCACCACACTCTGCTTTGCAGCTATTCAAATCAGATCTTGCCACTTCCATTGTTCTTATTGTCTTTGGGATAAAACAAAACAAAATAAAACCTGAGCATGCTCCCATGGTCCTGTGCATCTAGGCCCGTGCCACCATCCGCATGTGCTCAGGGATCCAGCACCACAGCCAGCTTTCAGGCCTGGAAATTCTCCACCCCCTCGCTCAGGGCCCCTGCTTATGCCTGTTGGGGCTGCTCAGAGCACTCTTTTCTACTTTACTTGCTACATTAACCTCAATCCTCTTGGATATCTGGTCTCAAACAGCCCTTTGTCCAGACTGTGGGAGAAGGTGAGGCCTAATCCCAACCTCACAGCATTTCATCAGTGACCTGTACACACAGCCCACATGTAGAATATCCTATTTGTGCGTTTACTTCCTCATTCTTTCCAGCGTGCTCAGTGCTGATATTCCCACACTATGCACAATGCCTGACCTGGGCCCACAGTCTACAACTCTGGACTGAATGATTTCATCATTTCATTAATATGCAATGAGTTGTGTTTCCCCCAGACACTATTTATGTGTGGATTCTGTTTAACCTCAACTTCTGCTTTGTGGTCTTTACAGCCCCTGTTAATGTAGGAGATAAAACTTTTTCTTAAATACAGCAATTCAGTGATTTTTTTTCTTTAAATATGATAAATTGTCTTTGGGTCATTTTAGTCATTGAAGCGGCAAGTTTAATTTGACCCTTGCAGATGTCAGTAAATCACAAGAAATTGGCACATACATTCACAGAGAAGTCTAACTGAGGTCACTGATTTGTTACTGAGACATTTGACTCCCATGTCTGGCCTCCTTCCAAGCTTGAGTTCTTACCCTACTTTGCCTTCCTATGCCATTGACAAAATCATAAAGCAAAGGGAAGGGGAGGGCCATGACTCAGGGCAGGACCATGCAGTTCAGGGTTCCAAATGGCCAATACCATCCAGGAGAAAGCTCGGTGCCTCTGGCCCAGCTGCAAGTAACTGGGTCAAGGTGCTCTTCCTTTGGATTGTTTGGGAACAGAGGTGTCTGAGACACTGAGTCCAGAAGCTCCCCCCATCCGACAGCATGAATGAGAGTACCCTGTCAGGCCTGCACTACAGGGAGCTTCCCCGTGTAAGGGAGATTTTAGTCTAAACAGAAGCAGCATCCTCTTCCTTAACAGGAGGAGGAACTTATATTTCTCCTCAACTTCAGGCATGAGGGATTCAGACAAGCACTTCTCAAGGTATTGTCTATTCCATAGAACATGTGCCCACCAACGGCCTGGGGGCTGCATGTGACTGTCATCCCTGTCCGGGCACAGGGGTGAAGGATGATCCCACCTTGCCCCTGTCACTTGGAGCAACACAACAAACCTCTCTGTGGTGTAGTTTTTTCTCCGTTGTGGTCAAACTGGGTTGGGTGTTGTGAGGATGACACGACAGACAAAGCAAAACTCTACCCCGAAGGATCTCGAGCCCTAGAAGGTTACAGAAATAGTCTACACTAGCTGCTTTCTCTAGCAAAGAGGACTACTAAAGAATCCAGTATGAAGCACATTTGAACAACTGCTTTTTAGGAAAATAAAGAAAAAGATCTACTTGGTCTATGGCTAATGGTGTTTTCTCTAACATAATAATAGATATGAGTTGTCTTTTGGAAAAATAAAGAATGGGATCCATGTAGTCTACGGTTAATGTTATTTTTGCCAATGGTGGTTAAGTGCTAGTTTTCCACAATTCCTCCAGCAATTCCACCTCAATTTTTCTTTTTGTAGCTAATTATCAGTCACAATATGACCTTTGCTTCAATGTTTTACTGGGCCCAAATTACCAACGAGTGTACCCATTAAAAATGCAAAAATCAAAATCACTAGTAGGGATGGTGGGAAGATGTGCTGATACACAGGGAGTAAATGGCTACACCTAAGCATCGCTGTTGTTGAAAATCATCATACTACTTAAGTCTCATTGCGGGAAACTGCCCTTTGAAAGGTAGAATTATAGAATTGGTATGAATCCTAAATGGACAGAGTCAAAACTTTTATTTAACTTGCTCAGATCTCAAATTGTAATAATGAATATGGAAAGTAACTGAGAATTTTAAAACTGGTGACTTTTATGCTTTGCCAAAGGAACGAACCATGCTGTATCTGTGTACCCAAAGCCTCCACCGCCTGGGGGAAGAGTGGACCTGGCTAAGCTGACAGAGGGCCCGAGCACAGTCCTAGGCTTCTCTTAACTGTAAGAAAGGTTTCAGTTCCTTTCAATGAGAAAACATTCCACTGTCCTTAAACATCTCCTGAAAATGGCTGGACATTATGCGCATATAGGTTACTAGAGTGCCCAGATGAGACACGGAAATCATAAACCAGTAATGTGTCCCAGTGTACCAGATGGGGACACCTCAGGCAAAACAGACCCAATAACCATCTGAACTAAGATAAGTGAAAAATCCACCCCAAAGAATTCAAAGACAAAAAGAGTATGAAATTCAGTATTTTCTTAATTTGTTGTAGAAAAAGCCACGTGAGGCAACAAAGGACACAGGAAGTTACTCTCCAACATGGCTCCTTGGTGACTAGAACATTAAGGGCTAGTACTTGCTCTACCTTGCATTTCAGCAGGGTATAGCCAAGAAACTGTCAGGAAGCTACATTTGAAAGAAAAATGTTGCCAAATTATTACACCTTATTTAGGAAAATCTCTGGGGGACAGAGAAGAAAGAGGTAGAAGGAATGAAATGGTTAATATTCGTGGCTCTCTGGAATCCAGTGTTCATGAGGACAGACTCAATAGTCTTCTCAGGAGACAGGGCAAAACGGAGAAAATATCCCATCCCACCTACCAAACTAAAGTTGTCATGTTACGTTGCCCTGGGTCCTTAACTGAAAACACAGAAATGTAATTGTTTAGAAAAATGGTTTTGAGCTGCTAATACGTTTCTAAAATGAGATTTTTTTCAGATGTTATAAAAGACAAACCATGGTGTCTTTTTTAAAAGATGATTTTTAAAATATTGAGCCAAAAAATTACTTACCACCCAGATGACATTGGATGTTTCAATTCTACTGATCTGGATCTGAAATACCATTTTCAATTCCTGATGATATGGAAGGTTTTGGACAGTCCATTGTAAATGCAAACTCTGATGTGCAGAATTGGTGGAAACGTTAAGTGATACTGGAGTCAATGGTAAATGTTCAGCCAAGACTGAAAAGACCAAAATGAGATATGAAATAATGTTTAATAAGAGCATGATTGGAGTCAGGGATAATTACACTTCAGTATCATCATTACTTAGCTCTGGAAAACACTGCTTATATGTGCATCCTGGAATCAGACACCTTGGAAAACTGGAAGATAATTTAGAAATTACTTAGCAGACACAGAAATTAAGACCTAGATGAATGAAGTGACTTGCTCAATAATATTTGGCAAGCTCATACATTGATAAACAGGTACACAAAGCAGAAAGATCCTTTACTAGACAATCTAACTGGTTTGGAAATGAATGAGAAGGCTGAAAAAAATAAAGGGAACTTTTTTGATAGAAATGTTATATTTCTGGAAATCAGAAATACAAGTTTCCTTTTTTGAAAGTATTTTTTGTTTAGTAGAAGACTACAATGTGGGAGCATATCTTATCTGTAGACATTGCCATTTGTATCTCAATGTATTTAACTTAAAAGATAAAGACTAGCAAGAATTAACTGAACTCTCTGGATGAGACCAGCAATATACCAGTCATTTGATGTGAAACAAAATAATTGTGACAAGGTTCCAAGCTCAAAGAAAGAAGCTAGTTCAAGAGACATGATGAACTCATATGAAATAATCAGAGATTGAAATTTTACACTAGTTAGTAGTATGACACAGTCTGTAAAAGAATAAAGAATTCAAACACGAATCAGATGTGATGAAGTTGGTGGCCTTGGGAAGCTGCAGCCTGTCTCTTTGGCTGTGTGTATAAAGCACCATGGCGCCATTGCAAATGTCTTGTACACAGAGGTTTAAGCAGATATATCTGGCACTAGAGAGAGAATGGGTCCTAAGTGAGTTAAGTCACTGCTGATTCTTAGAGAAGAACAAGTCATGACTTTCCACTTAAGAGGAGCAAAACACCATATAGACTAAAAAAGAATTGTGTATTGCTGATTCAACTATCTCAACAGTGAGGGTATTAGAAGTAAACTGGGAGTGGTACAAAGGTATTGAAAAGATGAAGCCTGCATCGATAAAATCACAGCATAAGAGATATCATTTTTTAAGCATTCATTTTTCTAGTTTCAGGGGGATTTCCCCTCATCATTTGAACCCTTTTAACATTAAATGGTAAGAGGCTATCTCGTTTTGACAACAAAAAATGGAAACAATCTCCAATACTGAAAAAAATGTCCCCAAATTGCCATTCTGCACTTGCTATTTTTCTCATAGTGAAGTAAAACTAACAACAATGATATTGAGCACATGTTATTTACCAGGCACAGTGCTAGGGCCTTTACTTACATTGTCGCATGCAATACCCACTATAAAACTGCAAGATAGCAAGTTTTTAGTTAAGGAAATCAAGCTCAACTAGGGTAAATAATATATACAAAGCGATGTGAAATTAAATAGGAATCTCTCTAATACCAACACCTGTGTCCCCCTTTACTGTCCTCCAGCTGTTAAGACAGGAGCACTGGCCCAATCCAAGTTTGCATGGAATGTAATGTCTGAGAAGTATTTTGCATGGCGCCAACAACTAAGTCCTGCCAAGGTCACGACACAGACAACAGGATAGGGCTCTTTATGGAGCCAGATAAACCGAGGAGCATCCTTGGTGGATACAAGACAAACATGATGTTTTCCCTGTGATTGGTCCACATGGTAGAAAGCTTCAGATTCAAATGAGGCACAACGTCAGAAATGGGAGAAACACCTCAGAAAACTCACTCTATGAAAGTGAGATGAACACAAATGCCCAGAAAAGAAAAGAGACCCACAATAGCTGCCTTCTCAGAAAGTTACCTTGGGATATTTTGTAAATGTGATGCTGGGAAGGGCGAGGGTGATAATTATAATTTCAGTGTGAATTCCATGACCATGAGTTTGGCAGTGGGTCCTTAGATCTGAATCTAAAAGCGTGAGCAACAAAAACAAAAAGAAATAGAACTTCCACAAAATAAACAATTGTGGGCATCAAATAACAATATCAAAAAGTGAAAAGACAACCTACAGAATGTGAGAAAATATCTACAAATGACATATCTACAAATTACATATCTGATAACATTCTAGTATTCCTTCTACATAAGTATTCTTATAAGTCAGCAACAAAAAGACAAAGAATTCAATTTAAAAATGGGTAAAAGAGGCTGGGCAACATGGAAAAACCCTGTCTCTATCAAAATAATACAAAAATTAGCCAGGTGTCATGGCACAGGTAGTCTCAGCTACTCGAGAGGCTGAAGTGAGAGGATGGCTTGGGCCTGGGAGACAGAGGCTGCCGTGAACCTTGATCATGTCACTGCACTCCACCTGGGCAACAGAGTGAGACCCTGTTACAATAAAATAAAATAAGGCAAAGGCTTGAATGAACATTTCTCCAAGAAAGATATACAAATAGCTAGTAAGCACATGGAAATATGTTCAATATCATTAGTCACTAAGGAAATGCAGGTCAAAATCACAAAGAGGTACTATTTCACCTCCATGAAGATGGCTATAGTAATTTTTAAAATGGAAATAACAAGTGTTGGTGAGGATATGGAGAAATTACAGCCCTTATACACTGCGGATAAAAATGTAAAATGGCTCCACCTTGTTGCAAACATTTTAACAGTTCTTCAAAAAGTTAACTCCAGCCTGAGTGATAGGGTGAGAGTCTGTCTCCAAAAAATATATATATGTACAGAATTACCATACAACTTGGTAATTCCATTTGTAGGTATATAATCCAAAGAATTGAAAGCAGGAATTGAAACAAATCATTGTCTAGAAATTTATAGCCACATTATTCATAACAGCCAAGAGGTGGAAACAACTTTCATCAGTGGATGACCAGATGAACAAACTGTGGTATATACATACGAAGGACTGTTAGTCATAATAAACTGAACACTGCTACATGCTACAATTAGATTAACCTCACAAACATCATGCTAAGTGAAAGAAGCCAGATACAAAAGGTTTTATACTGTGATTCCATTTGTATGAAATAGCCAGAACAGTAAGTACCATGGAGACAGAGAGTAGATTGGTAGCTGCCAGGGGCTGAGATAGAGGGGAATCAAGACTAACTGCTTAAGCACTGGTTTCCTTTTGGGGTGATGAAAATGTTTTGGAACTGAATGGGGTGATGGTTGCACAACACTGTGAATGCACTAATATTGCTAATTTACTCACCAAATGAGTAACATCAATCAATGTCACTAATTACTCATGATAAAAATGCTCATGTAACACAGAAATTGAATTCCCACAATCCTACCAACTCTACTTTTACTCTATTGCCAAGTTTAAATCATATATACTTTTCTTGGATTTTCTCATACACTTTAAAAAATATGTTGAAATATGTACCCCATTTTATGGTTTTTAAAGGACATGTTACTTTTTAAACCAATAAAGGGAAGTAAAAATAAAATGTTAACAGTCATTATAACAGTAATTATTTCTGAGGTTGGGTGATTTTAATTTTCTTCTTGATACTTTTCGGCATTTTGTAAATGTTCTTCAGAAACATGTATTAGTTTGAGAATCACATAATAAGTTATATTTTAAAAGAAATGCTTCTTTAAGATAATCTGATTTACTCCACTATAATGATACTTCAGAATATGCAATTCCTCCTTAGTTTTCCTAAGCCCTTGTTTCAAGCACCGATTGTGACATGCTGTAAGAGTCTGTCTCTGTGTCTGTCTCCCTGTAGACTGTGAGTGAAACAAGGTTGGGACTCAGCCTTACTCAGCTCAGAGAAACCAAGACTAAGAACATACCAGTTATGGGACAGACATTCAGTGATTGGTTGCTGGATGAATGAGTCAACTACCAGTCTAAACTTTACTTTTGGAAGCTCTAGGCAAAAGAAGAACACCTTATATTAACATATGCTATTAGTGAGTGCTGAATGACTCAGGTGCTCAACTGACATCAGTCAAAAATAACCTGTTAAAAGCAATCTAGGACTTCCTTGGGAAATAGTGGAAAATACCAAGGTTAAGTCAGAAAGATCAAAGAACCATAAAGATTCTTAAATCCAATCCCATTATTTTTCAGATGCGGAAATTGAGGTTAAAAAATGGGAAGTGACTTTGCCACAGCCGCACAATCAGACCAGAACATAGGGCTCCTGGGTCTCTGTCCAGCACTCTTTCTATAACGCTGGAATGTGGCCAAGAAGGCCAGGTTTGGGAATCAAACAGACCAGGATTTAATCACATACTCTCCTCCCACTTTCCCCACCCTGTTTCTCTGACCATCCATAAAACTACTCAAGGAAATAAACCATTGTCCATTCATAAGCAGGAATATCATGCAGCAATTAAAAATAATGTTGTTTCTAGAAGAACATTTAATATCAAGGAGTAACACTCACCATATGTTATAGTAATTGTTTTAAGTAATAAAGAAATCCTGAGTATATATCTACTATAATTTAACTTTTATTTAAAAATACACTATGTATTTATCTATCTCTATTTATATGCACATATATACAGCAGACCGAGGAAAATACAACAAAATGCTGCAGTCATAGTCTCTGGCTGATGGAAACAGGTACTTGGGATTAACTGAAAAAAGTCTTGGCTCTTCCTTGTTGATTAGAGAAATTAAACCAGGTTATTTGGAATAAATCCCCAGATCTGAATCTGGCTGGGTGATTAAGCGGTAAGCAAACTACTTGGAGTGGGAGTTTACTAAGTACTTGGTTAAATGCAGCAGAAATTGAGAAACGAAATCCAAACAGTACAGGTCAGGGCAAAGGCAGGATTAATTATCAAAGAAGGCATGCTTGACAGAGAAAGCTGGAAGCAGAAGTGAAGACTGGTTCATAGACAAACAGGGAAAGGCATGTCTGATCTAAACAAAAGAAGCTGAAAGAGTGAGAAGCAGAGCTTATTCTGAGAGCAGAGTGCCTTGTACATAGAAGGCACATAGGAAATAGTGCTGGATCAGAAAATGAACTTCACTAGAGAAATGAGCTGGGCTAAAACCTTGGAGTTAGATGCCTGGGACTTCCTGGAAACCCCATGTAACTGAGTCTCCCCATTTTTCTAAGAAAAAGAAATGAGTTACTATCTTTATTGTTATTTTCTCTTTTCTCCATTTCCCTCTGTTGCCCACTTCCTACTTAGCCCTTTGGAAATGCAATTATAACCTTTTACCTCCCCTTCACCAGACACTCGCTACAGGATGAGCTCATCTATTAATAATGATATTCTTAGAAGCTCCAGAGAGGAATCCTTACCCGCCAGGAGACTGCCTTGAGAGATAACAGTTGATTTACAACCCAAAGTATGCCCACTGTGAAACTCTCTCCCACTGTCAAAGTATGCCCACTGTGAAACTCTGAAGGTGGAGAATTTTCAGCCACCTTGTGGCCTATTTCTGCCCATGAAGATGCCAACTCAACTGACCAGTAGATCAGGCACCAAAGGGAGTATGCAGACCCCTACCTGCTCACTTCTGCTACTGCCTAGGCCCCCTGCTTTAAAAGTGCCCACTTTCTGCTTCAAAAGCAAAGTGGTACTCTTAAGGAGGAAAGTCTGTACTTATTACCCTAAGTTAGCTTTGGAATAAAAAGTCAGTTTCTTTATACCAGACCTTGCTAATTTTAATTGGACTCTGCAAGCCTCAAGCAACTGAACCTGCATTTCGGTTACACCCAGAGATGGGGCAGTGGGTCTGTTTGAAATCATTCTTATTATATGGTTTGATCACTCAGTCTGATTACACTGTGCTTACATTTTAGCAAGTAAGATAGAATGAGCAAGAGGTATACATACTACAAATGATAAATCCTAATTCCTACCTTTCAGCCCCAGATAATAAGAGACTAACAACAAACTATGGTTTTTAAGACGCCAAAAGAAGCAGCATAGCAATGTCTTCCCATGTGCCCTGGACCTAAAATAAATAAATCAGGTGAAAGGAATGTCAGGCAGAGAGCTGGGCAATTATCAGAACAATGTTTCCTTCTTTTGTCAAATATCTTTTCATAGAGTTTCTAGGAAGATGAGAAATTCTATGATATTCCCTGCAAAAATCATTTTCATGAATTTGTGGACAGGAATTGCATGAGTAACTACTAGGAGCAATACTTTTCTTTAAAAAGCTCCAGAGTGCAGCAAAGAATAAATATAGGAAGAGGAAAATGTAAAACTTTGTAAAATACACATGAAAGGTATAAAAAATTACAAACCAATAGAAACTCTCTCAATCTAAGATCTACTTCTAAACAAGTTCAAGGTAATAAAGTATCAGTAAACATTTTAGAGGTATTAAATTCTTATTGACTTTATTTAAAAAGTTGATTTATCTCAAAATACCTTCCCTTGGGGAGTAGCTAAGTGATACAATATTATTTTTCTATAAACATTTCAGCATTTAGCATATTGTCTTGCAGAGAATTGAAATACTTTCTTCATATTTTCATTGCTTTTACTCATATTTTATAAAGCTAATAGCTTCACAATGAATGTAGTTGAAGGACATAAAAACTTGTACTAACCTAGTGGTCAGTACTGGTGTGGTATACCCAGTGTCTTTCCCCAGAAGGAACTACTTCAATGATGGTCTAGTAAAATATATTGATCATGAAATTCTATTGGATTAGGTCCATTTACAATTGCCCCTAATGAGCAGTACGTTGACTGGGAAGTCAGGGTCAAGGGGTGGTTTATTAAGATGACCCATCAAAATGAGAGAGGCCAAGACTAAGGCAACCACTACTCTGAGAGACTCATGGGAGATACTCATGAACTCCAAATAATTCCCAAAGGAAAAAGGAAAACTTTCTTCCAAAGCATCAATGACCTCATTTGTTCCCGACGTGATTTTTGTCTTTACTGTTCTTTCCACTTCTTACCTTCACTCTGGTAAGTCCTCAAGGACAGCAATGTCAAGAAGAATGTTGTCTGAAAGACTTCAAATAGAGCCATCAGTTCTGCTTTTCTGAAAAAGATAAATTATAAAGAAGGAAAATTTTATTTAATTTTCTCTCCTGGCAGGTTTCTTTGAGCCAACTGTGGTAGATGAGGCAATAAGGCTCCCATACTTCTCCCTTCCCTGTATCCATGTCTCTTGTCATGTGACTTTGGAGGTTCCCCAGAATAGGAAGAATATATTTTCTTGCCCCATGGGACCTTCTTGGGTCCATAAACAAGGCACAAGAGATAGTGTGCCAGGTAGAGTGGTCTGCCAGTTTCTACCTGCTCTTTTGTGTTTCTACCTGTGACATGAAAAGAACAGTTATAGGCTACCCTACTATATTAGTCTGTTTTCTTGCTGCTGATAAAGACATACCTGAGACTAGGAAGAAAAAGAGGTTTAATTGGACTTACAGTTCCCCATGGCTGGGGAGGCTTCAGAATCATGGCAGGAGGTGAAAGGCACTTCTTACATGGTGGTGGCAAGAGAAAATGAGGAAGAAGCAAAAGTAGAAACCCCTGATAAACCCATAAGATCTCATTAAACTTATTAACTATGAGTAGAATAGCACAGGAAAGACCAGCCCCCATGATTCAATTACTTCCCCCTGGGTCCCTCTCACAACATGTGGGAATTTTGGGAGATACAATTCAAGTTGAGATTTGGATGGGGCCACAGCCAAACCATATCACCTACTGGAACCAGAAGGAGAATGAGCAACACATGAAACAGAGAGAGCCACCTCAGTTGTTCCAGCTGAGACCAGCCTAGATCAGCCAGCAGCCGGCCAACCCCAGACAAGAGCAGCTGACCCCAGGTGAAAGAGAAATAAATGCTTATTGCTGTGTATCACTGATGCTTGGTGGCAATGGATAACTGATCAGCCAATTCATTCAGTCCAAGCAAAGACTGGTATAAAGAAAGGTCAAGCAGAGAAACAAGAGTTAAATATGGACAATGAACAAATACAATAGTTTCACGAAAGCTAAATTTAAATTAATTACTTGGAGGTGAGAGCGTCTCCATTCTTTCCTATCTCCCTTATTAAAACTTAACCTAGGAGAAGTTAGTATATTCTCCCAAGAGACAGTTTTTCATTATTCCAAATAATTTCCGGTCTTCCTTTCCTTAGAAAAGAATTGTAAAGAGCCAAAGAGCTTCAGTGATTCATCAGGTACTTTGATCGGGGAAAAATCTGAGAACATCAAGAATAAGGCTGGATGACCTCAAAAAGGCTAATATGTTCTTAATTTAATAACAAATGTATTAGTCAGGGGAAGCACTGGATTTCACTTTTCTGCTTGAAACTCTGACTCAGCAGAGGGCAACAGTGAAACAATTAATTCAAAACAATTTTTGCCTCTGTCGAGTCACTTTTGATTTTATCAAAAGCCAGCAATTCAGCAAACCAGATAATCAACTGTTACTGTCTATGTCCTCTATTTTTTTAAAATAATATTTTACAGGTAAATGGGAACAATAGTGAAGACAAGAAGAGGGTAGACCACATCATCAAATTATTCTAGGATGGTCAGACCTGTTTACAGGTGAGCCCAATTGCAAACAGAAACAGAAGACTGCAAAGAACAGGTTTTGTTCCTATTCCTGTAAGCACCTCTTTCTTCTACTTTCTATTTTTGGCAAAAAGTCTTCATACATCTCCAAAATCTCTACTTAAAACTTCAATAGAATACATTGAGGGAGCAGCTTCAAGATGGCTGGCTAGAGGCACCTGGCACTCACCTCCTCTAAAAAGGACCAGTACAGTGAGTAGATAATCACATGTTGAACAAAGTGTCTAAGAGAGACCATTGGAATTCAGCAGGGAAGTGACAGAAAACCCCTGAGAAGGGGAGGGAGGTAAAGCAGATGACCCAGCCAGGATTGGCTCAGAGCCAGAAGAAACTCCCCAGTGCCAGGAAAAGTTAAGTGAGAGATACCCAGTGGTTCATATTCCTATGTGAACTCCTGTATTCCTAGCCACAAGACAGCCCCCACTACCCTTGCCAGCCCTGAGATTAGTATAGGGAGCTGTCTGGAGTCTGTGTGATGGCATTGCTCCAGACAGGCAATTTGTGTGGGGTCCCAGCCCCTTCTCTCTCAACAGCACAGTACCATGTCGAGATCTCAGCCCCCATTAGACTACATCCTGTGCTGGGGCCAACAGACCCTGCTCTCCACATTTCTGCAGCCCTGATGACATCACCCAATATCCACTCAGAGGGCAGTGGTGTTGTAGTGCACTCTAGCTCACTCAGTCTACACTCTGGGGAACAACTGGTGCAGCACACTGGGGAAGCTGCCCCCAGAACAAAAGAAGCCAAAGCACATGCTCCCAAAAGCCTGAGAGTCCCTTACTTGGGCTCACTGTCACTGATAGCAATCCTACCTGCCGCCCACCTCCAGCATCAGGGCTACCACCCACCTGCATGTACTTGGCCTGGGGACCATTCCACCCCACCAACCCCACTGTTACTGCCTGAGCACACTATCCAGGGCCCTGGGCATCAACGTGCCCCACCTACCACAGCTAGCATTCATGCACACCATTGGGAGGGCTGAGGACAGGCTTACCACACCCATCATCAACCTCACCAGTGCCTGCACACATGAACCAGGGGCCTGGGAATTGATCTGCCTTGCCCACCCCCTCTGGTAGCCAATCACACTTTCTGGAGTACTGAGGACAGGCCCATCCAGCCTACTGGTGCCCACATACATCATCTAGGAGCCTGGTGATTAATTAATGTGCCCAGTCTACCAACATCAGAATCTGCACCTGCCTCCTGGAAGCCTGAGTGTGAGCCTGCCTACCCTGCCTTCATCACTGCCACCAGAACCCACCTGCATACACTACCTGGGGTCTGGGAACTGGCCTGCACAGTCCATCACAGCCACCACCAGCACTCATGTGTGTGCCAGGGGTCCTGAGGGCTGACCTGCCACAACTACCATTACCAACACCACACATGCTGCCCAAGGGCCAGAAGATCTGTCTGCCTGCCTGGCCTACCACTGCCACTACTGGCACCCAAGCAAGCCACATGGAGGCCCAAGGATTGGCCCATCCAAACCCACTACCACTGGTGCTTGTGTACATCAGGTGGGCATGTGGGGGCCCAAGGACTGACCACTAGGCCTGGTACCACCACCACCACTGGGGCTCAACAACCAGCCTGCCTAGTGTCCCCATCCTTAACAAAGTCTTACCTCAGCTTCTACTAACAACAGCAGCCTAAGCAACCAAGCCAATTAACATTATCAATATAGCTACAGGAAAAAAATATTTCCCTATGAAAGCAAATCCATAAAATTACAAACAGCAACTCTTTCACCAGATGCTCAGATAGCAATGTAAGGACACAATACACACGGAAATGCAAAGAAACATGATACCTCCAAAGGAACATAAAAATTCTCTAGCAACGGATTCCAATGAAAAAGAAATCTATGAAATGTCTGAAAAAGAATTCAAAGTAATGATATTAAAGAAACTCAGAGAGATACAATAGAACAAAAACAATTTAAATAAATCAGGACAATTCATATCTGAATGAGAAATTCAACAAAACAGATATCATTAAAAGGAACCAAACAGAAATCCTGTACCTGAATAATTCAATGACTGAAATAAAAAATACAATCAAGAGCTTCAACAACAGACTAGAAAGAATTTCTGAACTTGTTTACAAGTCTTTTGAAATAACCCAGTCATAAAAAGAGAAAGAGAAAGAAAGAGAGAGACAGACAGACAGATAGACAGAGATAAGAATTTAAATGAAGAAAGAATGCCTATATTACATATGGGACACCAAAAGGTGACCAAATATTCAAATTTCTGGTGTTCCATAAGGAGATGACATGGGCAATGGCATTGAAAATCTATTTAACAAAATGATAGCTGAAAACTTTCCAAGTCTTGCAAGAGATATAGACATCCAGATACAGAAAGCTCAGAGATTCCCAAAGATATTGAACCCCAAAAAAGTCAGACTGTCAAAAGTTAAAGACAGATAGATAATTTTTAAAAAGGAAAGAGAAAAGGACCAAGTCATATATAAAGAAACTCCCATCAGACTAACAGTGGCTTTCTTAGTAGAGAACTTACAGGCCAGGGGAGAATGGGCAGATATATTCTAGTGCTGAAAGAAAAAAAAAAAAAAAAAAAACTTCAGGCAAGAATACTATATTCAGCAAAGTTATCCTTCAAAAATGAAAGAGAAATAGGCTTTCCAAGACAAGCAAAAATTAAAGGAATTTACCCCCTCTACACCAGCCCTACAAGAAATGCTTAAAAAAATCCTATATCTGGAAGTGAAAGAATATCTGCCATCATGAAAACATGTGAAAATATAAAACTAACTGGACACAGGCAAAAAAAAAAAAAAAAAAAAAAAGAGAAAAAGCAAGGACTCAAATACACCCACTGCAGAAAACCACCAAACTGCAATGACAAACAGCAAGAGAGAAAAAAAAAAGAACAAACGATTAACACAAAACAAAACAAAACAAAACAAAGTTTAGAGGGCAATTTGTAGCACTAAACACCCACAGGAGAAAGCAAGAAAGATCTAAAATCACAATTAAAAGAACTAGAGAAGCAAGAGCAGAAGACAAGAAATAACTAAGATCAGAGCAGAACTGAAGGAGGAAGAGACACAAAAAACCCTTCAAAAAATCAATGAATCCATGAGCTGCTTTTTTTGAATAGATTAACAAAATAGATAAATGTCTAGAAGAAAAAAAGAATCAAATAGAAACAATAAAAAGTGAGAAAGGGAATATTACCATTGATGCCACAGAAATACAAACTACCATCAGAGAATACTGTAAACACATCTACACAAATAACCTAGAAAACCTAGAATAAATGAATAAATTCCTGGACATATACACCCTCCCAAGACTAAACCAGGAAGAAGTCGAATCCCTGAATAGACCAATAACAAGGTCTGAAATTGAGGCAGTAATTAATACACTACCAACCAAGAAATGCCCAGAACAAGATGGATTCACAGCCGAAT